GCATATATAGTTTGAGTAAGAACCCTGAATTCCATTCAAACACTAGTAACATAAAGACATTTCATTTGGGATAGAAAAATATTATGATCCAATAACAGTATCCATCCTATAGATACAAAGTATAAGAAAAAGGGAAAGGAAAGAGAGGAGTGTAAAAGAGGGAAAAATGGTGAGAGGCGTGGAGTTTCACTCAACGATGGATTGGATAACACCAGCACCAACGGTCTTCCCTCCTTCTCTAATGGCGAACCTCATTCCCTGTTCGCAAGCCACAGGGACAATGAGCTCGACAACCATCTTAACACGGTCACCAGGCATAACCATCTTGGACTCCTCGTCCTTATCGTTCATGATGGAGGTGACCTTCCCCGTCACGTCGGTGGTTCTCATGTAAAACTGAGGCCTGTACCCTGCAAAGAACGGCGAGTGCCTCCCACCTTCCTCCTTCTTCAAAACATAAACAATGGCCACAAACTTGGTGTGCGGAGTAATGGTCCCAGGCTTCGCCAGAACCATCCCTCTCTGAATGTCCACCTTCTGAACCCCTCTCAGCAACAGCCCCACGTTGTCCCCCGCCAAGGCCTCGTCTAGAATCTTCTGGAACATCTCCACGCCGGTCACCGTCGTGTTCCTCGTTTCCCTCAAACCTACGAGGTCAACGGTTTCACCCACTTTAATCGTCCCACGCTCCACGCGCCCCGTCGCCACTGTGCCACGCCCGGTTATTGAGAAAACGTCCTCCACCGCCAGAAGGAAAGGGAGATCGGTTTGGCGCTGCGGAATGGGAATGTAGTTGTCGACTTCGTCCATGAGTTGGTAGATTTTATCAACCCATTCGTTTTCCCCGCGTTTGATTGCAGGGTTCGCCATAAGAGCTTCCAGGGCTAAGAGCGCGGAACCAGAGACGATGGGGATGTCGTCACCGGGGAACTCGTACGAGGAGAGAAGCTCCCGGACTTCGAGTTCGACCAATTGGAGAAGCTCTTCGTCGTCGACTTGGTCCTGTTTGTTGAGGAAGACGACCATGTTGGGGACGCCAACTTGTTTTGCTAACAAGATGTGTTCTTTGGTCTGGGGCATGGGGCCGTCGGCGCCGGAGACGACGAGTATGGCGCCGTCCATCTGGGCGGCGCCGGTGATCATGTTCTTAACGTAGTCCGCGTGGCCGGGGCAGTCCACGTGGGCGTAGTGACGGTTTTCAGTTTCGTATTCGACGGTAGCGGTGTTGATGGTGATGCCGCGAGCGCGCTCCTCCGGGGCGGCGTCGATTTCGTCGTACTTTTTGGGGGCGCTGTTACCGAGTGAGGCGAGGGCCATTGTGAGGGCGGCGGTGAGGGTGGTCTTGCCGTGGTCCACGTGACCGATGGTGCCGATGTTCACGTGGGGCTTCTTGCGCTCGAACTTGCCGCGCGCGGCGCGGACGGTGAATGGGCGGCGGGGGGAGGTGGTGGAGGGGATGCGGCGGAGGATGGTGGAGGGGTGGAGGAAGGAGGAGGAGAGAGGGGTTAGTTTGTGGGTGGAGGTGGAGCGGAAAGGTGTAGAATTTAGAGAAGATGATGAAGAAGAAGATGATGAATGTGGGAATAGTATGAGTTTTGAAGAAGCTGTTGCCGAAGAAACTGCCATAGTCTTGGAGAATTGGGGTTGACGAGAGGGAAGAGAGAAGAGGATTGTGAGACTGTAATGAGTAATGTAAATTGTTGTGTCTGTTGTTATTTTTGTTTTATCTGGTGGTGGTGTTGGTGAGAGTGTGTGGATGGATAAAAGTTGGCCTCATATCACTTCTATCCTTTTTCTGCCTCAATTTTGGAAGGATCACATTCTTCTCAGATTCTCTCTTTCTCATGTTAACCCAAGTCAACCTTCTGTGTGAACTTTTGCTTTTAATATTTTCATTTGTTTACTTCTGTTGCAATATATTCATCTTTATCAATTATTAATGTTAATTATTAGTTTTCCTTCTGTTGTTTATTTTAATATTTTATCTTTCAATGATTTACTTAGGTTTAATTATAAGCTACTTATGGGTTGTAAAAATTAATATATTTTTGTCAATCTTTTTAAAATTCTTATTCTGAAAAAATTTGTAGTTAAATGTAATTAATTTAGAAGGATATGAACTTAAAAGAAAGATTTAGTATGAAACATTAATATTCAAGTGGTTGAAGGTAATATAAATTGTGTATAAATATGACAATTGTTTAACCCATATTCTAAAATTGACCATCTGAATTATATATGAAAAATGCAGTTCTAAACAATTATCTAAAATTCATGTACAAATATTATGATAAAAAAAAATGGATAAAAACTGTTCATATATATGAGTACAATAAATTTATATAAACAAATTTTGTTTACCTTCAATCTCTCTGAGAGATTCAGACAATCAACATCAAAAGAGTGGATGCAGCATTGTCCTCAGCATCATATGATATTAAGAATTGAATACACCATTGATCAGTGGTGTCACAATAATTGTACGCTAAACAATGAAAACTCCTTCCTGATACATTCGAAAAAAAAAAAAAAAAAAGGTTTGACCTGAGTTGAATTATATAAAATATAAGACTGAATTTTTTTAATACGTAAGTTTGATGAATAAGAAAAAAATGAATGAAGCTCTTGCAGAACATGGAGCTGAAATATAGTTTTAAGAAACTCATCTTTTAATAGAATAATTTCGTTTAATGTCTTCAACATTAGAAAGCTTAAATATTTACGGTAGAAAAAGAGATAAATTAACACTAAAATTAATAATAAAAATAAATGAATATTAAAAATGATAATAAGATGAAATTGAGTGAGAGAAAGCGTAAGAGGACGATGAAACCTTTTATGAAGATGGTGATATTCAAAACTGTGAGGATTTAATGGAAGTGAAGTTTTGGAAAGTTTAAAAAGTGACATTGTTGTGGACATTCTAACGGTTTCACTAATGTACTGCATGACTAGATAAATTATTGTGATCTGGGTTCTGACATTGATTATATTAACTCGTGTTCTTCCTGGGCCTGCAGAGTATAAATTCACAGACTGCTAAATCTGGTGAAGAGTAGTACTTCATATGTGTCAATAACAGGTTTACATAATGTGTTGCAAAGTTATTTTTTCTTCTTTTATTTATCAAAAATCTGAATTGGTTATTAGTTAACTACAGACATAACCATACTTCTATTACATGTGGGGTAGGACAAATGGTAGATGATTAAGATAAGATTAAGAGGAGTAATATGCAATGATATATAATGTAAACTTGGGTATACTCAATTCCCCGAGTAATACTAAAATTCATAGCCAAAAACATAACAATGGCTAAAAAAAAAAAGGAGATAATAGGGTTGAAGAAAAAGAAAAATGAAAAAAGCCTAACCACAGGTTTTTGTCTTTTGGGTCCGATAATTTGAGGTGGTTTGTTGAATAAGCAGTTGAGTTGGGAAGGTCCACCTCCACGTGGCCTTTTCCCAGCGGTGTTCCTTACTCCCTGATTGCGACGGCTATTTGATTCGTGTCTCCACGCTAAGGAGACTTGCTGGAAGTTAGTTCCACCAACAAAACTATTTCCTTATGTCTACCATTTCTTCTTGTATTAAAACTAAAATAGATTTTGATGATTTATAATGTTTTAATACATATTAAATTTCAAATATCTATGGCTTTGATAATTTTGTTAAATAGATCACATATTGTCCCCTCCTTTTTATAAAGCTGTTTGGTTATCATATATTTTGTATTACTTTCAATATTAGTAAATGAAATGACAAAAGAAAAGTTACAGAAAAAGAATAATAAGTATTTATAGGACCTTGAAATATGAGAACAATACTATAACGACGTCGTTCCAATTCATTAAGTTTGAAAACCTAACAAACTCAATTTTCTTCCTGATACTTTAAATGTTTTAACAATTATTTTATTAAGTTTATATCTCAAAATTTATCTACTCATTTATAATACTAATATTGATTAATATAAATGATAGTGATTTATGTCCCTCATTTTTTTATGTGAAAAATAATTCAAATCAATATCATATAGTTTAAGTCAAAAGTTCTTTATACCGATAATACAGAGAATAAAGTTGTTATTTTATTTATTGTGTTTTGTTGTGACGAAGAAAGCAAATCAGCAGAAAGTTGTTCATCGTTAACATGTTTATCAAGAATACGCACACAGGCATTTTGAAACCAGAAACGTAGCATCGCCTAACAAGCCGGTGATTGATTTTAGAAAACTAAATTAAATTTACTCTTAAAACCACACATTCGAATAGAAGTGAAAAGCAAATGTAATTGTAATAAATATATTATTTTTTATAAACTTTTTTTAAAAATGAAATATTAAATATAAGTCACTTAACTTGAAATTTAATTGTAATAAAAACCAATTTTATAGAATCAAAAGAATTTAAAATCAAGTTTATTATAGATACTGCTCCGAACACAAGTCAGTAAGTAATAAATAGCAAAATTCCTAGTTTCAAGTTCAAGTACTTTACCTCCAAGCCCGAAATGGTAGCTGGGAAGACCTGCATGTAAATTGAAATGGAAACGACAGGCAGATATATATGTACAAGTATCCATTTTCTATAGTTTAATTAATTGTATCAGACTATTTACAGATGGGAAATAGAAATATAATTCTGTCTTCTGACCTATCAAAGCTAATTTATCACTTTAACCCTATATTGTAGGGTAAATAACATTGAGTCCTCCAAGCTGCAGAGAACGTTAAGTAATCCCTCAACGAAATCTCTCCTGCAAAGATCACTCCCTAGTTATCACCCACCTCCACCTGCATTTTCTCTTCACATCATATACCAATAAGCATGAATTATGAAAAACCAAAATATTAACAGAGCGCAGTTTCCAAGCAACATGCAAGATCTCAACTTCTTAGTTTCACTCCTAAAATTAACTTTGGCTTTCTAAATGAGGAAAGCGAGACTACAATAAACTTCACAGAAGGGGCGTTGAGATGAACGAAGGGCAAGCCTCGCTCTACATTTGACCGCCAGGTATCTGTAGGTTGCATATATTTAGAACCTTCTGGCTAATTTCTGGAGAAAGTTCCTTCAAAAGATCCGAGACAGCTAATTGGTGCTTCCTCTTCAGTTCATCTAACTCCTCTCTCTGTTTAACCAACAAATTCTCCAGTTTTCTTGCCATGTGATTGATGTATTCTGTTTCCGAATCTTCCACGCTTCCAGATATTTCTTTCAGAGATTTTTCACTGGTTGCTCCTGATTTACTACTTCTCCCGCTGGAAGGGGAATCAACAATCTCAGCACTACAATCACCAAGACGATCATCCGCAGAAACATCACCATTTCCATCCGGGCTGCCATCCTCGGCGTCTGCATCCGCTGCAAAATAAGATTTTGAAGTAAGAGGACGAGATGGAGAGTTTCCACCAACTCCCCTTGGTGAGTCTGACCAGTACTTTCGACCTGAAGGTAATGTTTCTAATGTAAGACTGCTGGCAGAAGGAGAGGCATCTGGCCTAATTTCAGAGATATAGCCTGAATCTTGACTATATCTGTGAACAGGAATTTCACTGACATTCCAATTAGGAATGTGATACCGAATTTCTGAGTCAATCATCCTAGCAATAGTTGTAACATCTTGATCAGTAAGTTCCAACTCCTCAACCATTTCACTAGCAACAGAGGTTGAAGTGTCTGCTTCGATGTCAAAAGGAAAGTGGATATTCCGAATATGACCTACATGGAAATGAACATCAGAACCAATGAAAAACCAAATAGACTCTTAGGATAAAAAAACAAGATAAGAAAAAAAAAAAAAAAATATATATATATATATATATATATATAGAGAGAGAGAGAGAGAGAGAGAGAGAGAGAGAGAGAAGACCTGAGGAATCTGCAATTCGCAATTTTAAAAATATTGTATTATTATCTCTCCTCTGACCTTCCACCGTGAATTCCCTACTTGCCTCAAGAGAAGTATCCACAGCAAGAGCTTGATTTTGGGAAATATTTCCTGCATTTGTTACATCAAATGGTAAACAATATAAGATTGTTAATTGGGGAATTTAGATGCATGGTATCCTTACCCGAATGATGGGTTTGAGATCTTGAAGATCGGCCAACAGTTTCATTATCATAATCTGACTGAAGGAAGGGATCCATCAAGAGTTCCTTTGCAGACAACCGTTCAGATACATGGGCAATACACTTTTCAATGAATGCTGTAACTTCAGGATTTGTCACTTTTGCCAACGATGCTGGCTTAATTCCCTACCAGGAATGGAAACAACAATAATAAACGCATAGATGATAAATGAGAATAAGGGCCTGGTTTGAGAAAATGGTTTCTATTTCTGTTTTCGCTAATAAATAAATAATAAAAAAAAATCTTTTGCTACTTCGTTTCCTGTTTTCAAAGATTTGGACAAGAGAAGGTGAAACAATTTAACGTTTCTATAGTTATTAGTGAAAACAGAATATATAGCAATGGAAAATATTTCCTTGCACCAAGCAAGTCCCTAAATAACATGAGTACCATTAATAGATGACTTTCTGGAGGGTTGTTTGATTCTTTGCACAGCATATCAATAAGACTAAGGAGACTGACAAATATTTTTCGATGATTTGAGTTAAAAAATTTCTAGAATGATGTTTTTCCCACATGCTTTAAAGGATGTAATCCAACCACGTCTGAACTCCACTTTAAATATCTAGACTAGACTAGACCAGACTATATCTCCAGCAATTTCACACATAAGAAAAGCTAAAACCTACCATGATTCTTATTGATGATGTGATAATCGTTATTACCTAAACAGGAGTATCAGCAACACACTCTATTATTGGTAAAATTTTTAGGAGATTACAAAATCACGAGCAAGACTAATTAAGTATAAAGTGAGACCATAGAATTATGTGATTTCTAGTAAATTTCAGCTTGTAGCATGGAGTGTGTTCAAAAGAATGCGTTGATAGCATTTCTCATTCCTTGGATGCCAATTAAAATTCAGGTTCAAGAACTGGAGAAGAAAAAATACCATATAAATTATTCTATGATTAACTGTCTCAATTTAAAGAGCTTTCATGGCGTATTGAATACTATATCCATCTCCATTGAGACAAAATGAACAATTCTAATACCAGTGTTGCATCACAAGTAAAATAGTCCCGACATTTGGATAACAAAGCACTTAACTTACAGATGTCACTTTCTTGTATATTTGAGCAGCATTGGCACATTCAACATAGGGGTACTCAACTGTTACCAACTCTAGCAAGCACATACCAAAAGCATATATGTCAACAAGCTCATTGTATTCCTCTTCGTAAAGTTCTGGGGCCATGAACTCAGGAGTTCCTAGGCTCATAATAAGAATTACAGACGCTTTCAGTAACAAGATTCCCGCAGTAGTCCACAAAAGAAAAGAATAATAAGTATAACAATTTCACATGAAATTTTACCTATAACACTGTGTGCTGAATTGGCCTTCTGGAGGATAGCCGCCAATCCTAAATCACCAATTTTCACCTCCCCTTGATTCCCGTTGACAAAAATGTTATCACACTTCAGGTCACGATGAATGATAGGAGGATCATTACTGTGAAGATACAAAAGGCCTTCCAGAATCTGCTTAGACCATTTCTTCAAAGCTCTCAAATCAACATTTTTATGTTTCTTCCGGTATCTAAATTAAGAAAGTCAAACATATAAACATATAAAGCTCACCAAGTTACGAAATAAAACAAACACGGAAGCCGAAAGAGACTCACTGGCGCAACGTTCCGGAGGTGAAAATTTCAGTAATGAAGTTGATGTTCTCGGTCTTGGAGTCAATCCATGAATTGTAAAACTTAATTATATTCTTATGCTTCAAAGTCTTGAGCAAATGAACCTCCGAATAAAGTCGCTCGAAATCTTCAGAGTTACGCAAAAGATCCGTCAGCTTAATCTGATTCCAAGCCACTTCAATCCCTTCCAACTCATCAAACGCTCGATATCTACATTTCCATTCCACTGTCAAGGCCAAACAAATCCCCCACCCCCGAAAACGAATCCATGCATGTTGATTATTTCAATTAAAAAAATCAGAAACAGAAAAAGGATACACTTTCTTGAAAGCCCCTTTTCCTAAAACTTCCTTGTACTGCAAATAATCCAGCAAACCAAGTCAGATCAAACGAACCGCTTCAAAATACGTAGCAAAACCAATCAATCGACAACAAATAAAATATAATAAAACAATGAGGTGAACGAGCGGATACAACAGAATGCATGAAGGATCAGCATTGAGGGAGAAGTGAAACTGACCCGACCATAGCGACCGGAAGGATCAAACTCGACGAATTCGATGTCAGGATCGTCAAGGTCTTGCTCGGAGGAATCCAGCGGCATTGGAAGAAACCCTAGCTTGGTAGAATGAATGGTGAATTGGGAAGAGAACGAGGGAAAGAGAAAATGGAACGGGAATTATGGATATTGGTATTGGGATTTAGAAGAAGGCGAGGAAACAATACAAGCTCTGGTTCTGGTTGTGGTTATTGGCAGGGTCAAGACTTAAATATAATGGTTTGGTAGTTTGGACTAAAACGCTCCGTTTCGTTTATGGCTTTGGAAGAAGGAGGAGGAGGAGGAGGGTGCGTGCAGGTGCAGTGTATGTTGGAGGAGACGCAAACTAACGTGGTTTTGTTATAATCTTAGGCTGGCCAATTCAAATACTATCATTTATGGCTTCAAAGCCGAGTCGGTTTGTTTTGGCTGCTAGTTCTTTCCTTGTTAAGCCCAGTCATCAAAACAAAGTAAACCGGTTGATTAATTCTATTTCTGTGGGTGTTCTTTTTTCCATTTTCGATTAGTGAGATAATCTTCTTGCTTCTTCTTTTTTATTATTTAATCATTCAAATTTTAATATCAAAAATAATATGAAGAAAATAATTTTTAACTCTATGACTAAATTATTACTTTTTTAATTAAAATACAGTGTTACAAATAAATTATCGATTAAAAAATAAAGATAATACATTTTACTATATTATTTGTACTAAAAAATAAATATATTACTTAATTGTGTGTAAAAAAATAATCCATTTTTATTTAAACAATTTTTGTTATTTTAATTATCTTAATTAATATTTTTTTATTAAACTAAATATAGTTAATTAGAAGGAATGACCACGCAACAAAAATTCCTAAAGAGCAGAACACTACAAAAAAATCATATCTAACCAATTTATTTATTATCAAAAAAATTTCACGTTATATATATATATATATATATATATATATATATATATATATATATTATTAATATATAATCATTTGTTAAATTACACATGTGAAATAATTTACTATTTTAAAAGTTAATTAGAGATGTTTAAAAGAGATGTAGAAGATAAGAATTGTTAATGTATATATTTGTTCAAACATGGTCAAACCCTTTTCACAGAAGTGTAACCCATAACAAAATTGTTAACTATAAAGTATTGAGCAATGGGTAATTTGATTCTATTTTTCACTGTAGAAGTTACAATTTATTCTTATAAATTATTAAAGAAACATAAAATCAACTTGTTATAATCTTTTCAATATAATGATGTACATATAAAGATTAAATTAACAACTTTTCTTTAGGGTCTGAACATTGTTTATAGGTGTAATATCACTTATCAAATAATACGAAGATATGTCATAAATATGCTATCATTATTGAAAGAATCAAGAATTTTAATGAGTATTTAAAGTTAGGGTTCATTCATACTCTTACCACAATCACTTTAAAGACATTTTTATCAAGAAGGTCAAACTTTGATGGTTTATTTATGATCCATTCTCTTTTAGATTATATGAGATTCTTCTATTCCATTGGTTCATTTATGATATTACCTTTATTGATGCCTCATATCATATATATATATATATATATATATATATATATATATATATATATATATATATATATATATATATATATATATATGATACTAGGAGGAATACTAAAATAATATTTACCTAATACTCCCGAACAAATAATAAGATATCATTCAGGAATATGGAATGAAACTCAATAAAAGTATAGTACTATTAAAAAAGAAATTTTAAGCATAGTTTTGAATATACAAAAATTTCAACATGATTTAATAAATAAAAAGTTTTTGTTAAGAATCAATTGCAAATCTGCCAAAGAAGTTTTAGAAAAAGATGTAAAAAATATAGTTTCTAAACAAATATTTACTAGATGGCAAAACTTATTATTTTGCTTTGAATTTGATATAGAATTTATAAAAGGAAAAGAAAATTCAATTCCAGATTTTCTAACACGAGACTTTTTGCAGGGTCATTCTCATGGCAACCCCCTCAAAAAAATCTAATACCCCATAAAAGAATAAACTCGAAAATCCTAAGCCATCTACCTTATCTCTAGATGACTTTGCCCCTTCTTATTCAAAAACCATAACCACCCGAAAACTTCTTACTTCCATCACAACTCTCCCTAATAGATTTACTCCATTAACTCCTCAAAAACCTCGTAACATTTCTCCGTAAATAACCCCGAAAAAGAATTTCATATCAAAGAAGGATGCCGTAAAATAATTACTCTAGAAGAAGACTGGAATGCGTAAGATATATACTGAATACTTAAAAGGGTAGCTCCTATAGGATGGAGCCGGATACCCAGATCGGAAAATTTAAAAAAAACCAAAAAATTTTATCAATTTATTTTAATAGATACTGCTTCAGCCGAAATAACTCTCATCCCTAATGATAGAGATCCCTCTATTATTAGCTACTCAAAATTAAGAATCATCAAAATAATTTGCTACCCAAAATGGAATCAACATCCATTCACTGATAAGAGCTTTTCGAGGCCCTTTGACCCCCCATCATACAATTACTTTGATTACCAAGAAGCCTGGAATAAAATTCTCTTCGATACCAACCCTAGGCATTCCTGGTACATCTGTTTTAAAAAAGAAATACCAAACTCCTTACCAAACTGGTTTATTGACTGGTTCCATCAAATAGGTCCCGTTCAATCAATAATCCCCGAAAAGGTCATGAAAATCTACCAGAAATACAAAACCCTCACCCCTCAATACCCTCCATATCTTAGAATTATAAAGTTCTGTTCAACCATGGGAATAAGTTGGCTTTTGGCCCACATTCCCAAAGTCCATCAGCATAAGGACGAAACTTATCCCAAAACCCTTTGCATAAAAACCAAAGTTTTTTGGTGGAAAAAATTTGAAGTCCAATATGTTGAAGAAAAATTCGAAAACTGGAGAAAAATGGGCCTCATCAGTCGAACAGGCCCAATACCTAAAGAAAACCCTTCCATAAAAGACAAGGGAAAATCCATAATAGATTTGTCACAAATCCCCTCCTCAAAACTAGAAAAAGCCCAACTAAAACAAAAAATGCTCGAAGTTTTATCCTCTTTGGGCTTAGACGACGAAGAAGAAGAAGAAAACGAAGCCATAATTAACATCCAAGATGCACAAGACCCATATGAAGACGAAGAAAATGTAGATTTTGATCAGTTCTAGCAACCAATTACATCTTATGATAAAGAAATGCAAAGAAGAATTCAGAATATCATGAAGTCCTCCAAAAAAGAATTGTACAATAGAATTCAGAATATCATGAAGAAATTAGAAAAAGACCCCCATGAGATATCCTTCTAAGAAAAGCATCTGAGTAAGAAGTTAGGCTTATCTGGCCCATTACCCAAAAGATGCAATAGTTCTCAGTCCAGAAGAAATAACAGTGGATTCCTACAACCAGAAAAAGGGACCCACAACGTGGAAAAAAGAGTCATGTAATTTTGTTTTTAGCGTCGGCCACCGAAAGTAAAGGTGTGCCAGTTGTAATTATCTTTTCTTTTGTCGGCCACTTGTGCCAGCTGTATAGTTAATAGGGAACTCTTAAGAGTCTATAAAAGAGTCAGTTGTCGAAGTAGAATTTACAGCTCTTTTAGAGCCTTAAACTCTACCTTCCTCGACCAACTCCTTCATAGCCTAAGTTCCCAGCCTTCCCTTGTATCCCTCTGCGAATATTGTAAATATTGTAAGATTTCAGAAATATAACTTCTTCTTCTCTTTCTCTTCCGCTTTATATATGCGCTGGTACCAGAAATGGTATCAGAGCCAAAGAAACAAATTTTGCGCTGATATATATATCTGTTGTTTCAAATAAGTATGCATTGTGGTTGCGGTTTAGGCCGATCCTCCAGGTTGATGAGAAGAAAAGGCGCTGAAAATCTATATATTATATTATATTATATATATAAATGATTATTAATATTTTAATAATCAAAATAAAAATAAGTAAAATAATTATAATATTTTAAATTATATTAATAATAATTATTTTTATTTTATTATAATTTAGTTATTTTTATTTTTTTATTAAAATAATTTTTTTATTATTTATATCAATTAAATCATTCACAAACTTTTATAAACTTTCTTTTCATTTCTCTACATTTTTTACCATTTTTTTCTTAATCCAAATGCATTCCTCTTTTCATCCAAATATTTTTGTTGGATATCGATACTATCAATTAGAATAATTCAATTATGATAGGATTTAATGATAATATAATTAGTTTTATTTCATTATTTACGCACAGTTATGTACAACATTTATAGGAATAATATTTCCCTGATTTTTAGGGATAGATGAGTGTATAGGTTTATTACCTTGTATTCTATTTATATCTCCTTTGTATCTTTTCCAAAATAAGAAATACATAATATATCTTCCGCATGATATTAGAACTCAATCTGGATCACCCTAACCTTGCGCCAACCATGGAAGAGAACAAGGCAGGAGGTTTGGCTACTAGTTTGGTTGAAGGATCTACTCTTCCCATCACTGGTCACAAATTGAATGACCAAAATTACCTTCAATGGGTGCATTCAGTTAAAATCTTCTTTCAAGAAAAAGGGGAGGAATATTACATTACCAGAGACTCCAAGTGTCTAGTAGAGGATGACTCTAACCTCAACAAATGACAACTAGAAAACAGTTTAGTAGTTTAGTCATGTCATGGTTACTCAACACCATGACCAATGAAATTGGAGAGAATTTCATGTATTATGACACTACCAAGGAGATGTGGAATGCAATGAAGGAAACCTACTCAGTCACTGAGTATTTTAATATACTCAGCCAACATTGGCAGCAACTAGACATATATGAAGACGTTAAATGGAGTTGTGTCGAGGATAAGAATAAGTATAAAGAATGGGTGGAAAAAAACAGGATCTACAAGTTCCTATTGGGACTGAATACAGAACTTGATGAAGTCTGAGGGAGAATCCTTGGAACCAAACCTCTTAAAACAATCCAGGATTTTCAAAACTGATAATCGAGGGAAACAGGAGGAAAGTAAT